AAGGGAGGCGACGGGGTTAAATCGCACCCGATCATCGGAAGGTTTGGGACGTCCCTGAAGATCGGGATCGTCGGGCTACCAAACGTTGGGTAAGTGCGCGGGGGAGTGCGGGTTTGTGGGCCGGCGGCGGGGGGCAAGGGAGCAGGCAGGGATCGCCAGGCAGGCCGGGGCTCCCCGCTCTCCCCGACTTTGCTTCCGCTCCAGGTAGAGTGACCTGACACAGTTCCTGGATGAAGATAGGTGCCGGTAGGTGCCTATAGGAGCGGAGGAATAGAAGTGAAGTCTTTTCACTGATGGCGTACGTCTTTAACTTGAACTACTTAATAGGTGGGGCGATGGTATAACATGAGGCTGGTATGTACAGGCCTGGACAAGATAATAGTGAAGAATTAAAAGAAAAAATGAGTTTTAGAAGTTGCTGAGTTTTATAACGTACTAACTTTTGCATTTCCTTGCTTCCACTCTTATGTATGTTTAATGCACATTTTTATGCACACGTGTACGTGCATACTAATTCCTTTAATTTTTTTTTTAGAGGATAATGTGCACAGGAAAGGGTTGATGATACCTTAACTGTCATTAGCAGCTAAGAGGACTTTTATTCTTGAAACTTCTTTAGAGATTGTAATGAAAGAAGTTGTGTAAGTTTGGGAGAGATGATGGAAGAGGAATTGTTTGTCTCTGTTATGCTTTTCATCTGTGGTTGTTATGGCTCCTTAAAGGAGCTGTATACTTCAGGCACTGAAAAAGGATAATGAACTACCTGGAGAATATCTGTGTGAAACTATTGGTATTAATCTGTGTATCTTTTTTACTAAAAGAAGTTCTCAGCATTCTCAAACTTTAAGTCTTTAAAACATTAAAGTCTATGAGCATGTCTCAGAGCCATAAGTACTTCTTTTTTGTCTTTTCATTACAATTCATTTTATTTTTCAGTGAGTAGGCAAGTTGCACACCAGAAAGGAAATCATTAACAATAACATATATCATGCAATGGGGAAAGTAGCATTTGTGGTTATGTTGTGATGTAACTTTTAAAGAAAATTGGGACTGACTTTTGAGTATGTTGGCTGTATGCACGGCAGCTTTTGGATTTCCTCTTCTTCCCCCAGTAGCTGAGTAGTTATGTGAAACTAAAACAGAACAAAACAAAAAACCGAGTATTTTTGATAGAAGATTCTGGACTTGATTAAGAACTTTCTCTCAGTAATAACTCAAGAATTGATCTCTTTTGGTTTAATAAATGCCAGCTAACAAAAGAATCTGCTACTTGATTTAAGGCAATATATTCTTTTTCCCCTCATAGGACTTGCAGGTTTTTTTCCATTGTTAAATACAGCAAGGATGAAAAATGTTTGGTAAGGTAGAACAGTATCTTCATATTCACAAAAGAGTACTTGTAATTGATTGACTGATGTGGTTTGCTTTCTGTACCCCTTTTTTTCCTCTTGATTGCTGACTTTTATTGCTTAGATACTGAAACTGCTAATACATAAATCTGAAGAAACAGTGCAGTTGTGGAAACAGCTGGTGAGTCTTGGCAGAACTAGCTCACTCAAAACAAGTTTTAAGTGTCCTTACCCGTTTCTCACTTTGTGCTTGAGGAAAATGAGTAGTGGCCAGTAGAACTGTGCTTTGGTTTTGACTTAAAATTACTTCGCCAACTGACATGTGTGATGTAGTCATTTAGGGGAATTTTCAAGGGCAAGGAAGAAAGGTTTCAATGGGTCATTCTGTAGGTGTATTTGAAAGTATCCTGTACTAGAATCAGGGCAATGATCACTGTTGTTGAAGTGAAGGGAAAGTTCAGCATTGCTGTTGGGTTGGAATAAGATGTGTTTCTATCCAGCCCTTTTAGATGCTTCTGATTTGAACTTCTTCAAGAACATGTGTATTTCATTTATAGGAAATCGACGTTTTTCAATGTGTTAACAAAGAGTCAAGCGGCAGCAGAAAACTTCCCTTTCTGTACTATTGATCCAAATGAGAGTCGAGTACCTGTGCCAGATGACAGATTTGACTTCCTCTGCCAGTATCACAAACCTCCAAGGTAACGCAAACTCTTAATGTTTTTTTTTCTTCAGTTAAGCAGCTGAATTAGTATTACTGAACCCAAAAATTTCATAGAAATTTAATGCAACTATAATGTCTTTAATTAAGATTTTACTGACATCTGTTTTAGAATGTGAAATGATAGATGTACCTAGATTATGTATTTGCCCTTCACCCCATATGACCTTTGTGTTATGAGAATGAGAAATCTAGGAGCTCTTAGTCATTGCTCAGCACCATTTGGTGCTTGATGTTCCTGTCTTTGAAGGTTGTGACTCCCAGGTGACTTGGAGGATCTTCTGAAGATATCTGGAAAACAAACAGTAGCGGACATATCTAATGTTTCATGAGATTGCTCATTTGTAAAATTTCCACCTTATGTTTTGTATTGTTCAGAATATTATATATGCTGTAGGTAGCCAAACCAATATCTATCAACTGTCGTGGTTTAGGGCTGGGCCGGCCACTAAATCCTGGACAGACGCTCTCTATTAACTCCTCTCCCCTCCCCAGAAGGGAAGAGAAAAGAGAATAAGGGAGAGAGACTTTATGGGTTGGAAAATAAAACTAACGGATTTAATGAAACAATAATACTGATACTACAGATAATATTGTAAATAGGAAAATAATGAAATATATACAAATATGTACAAATATATAGATACAAATATAAAATCCTTCCCCCACCCTCCCCCCAATGACGTATACATCACCAGAGGCTCTGCAGAGCCGGGCACTGGAAAAGTCCCAAACTGAACTCAGCAGCAGGTGGGAGCAGGATTCAGGAACACACGGATCGGGATCAGAGGCAGATGAACCAGCAGGGTTCTGCTCAGACCTCAGCAACTGCAGGATCGAGACGGCGGAAGGGTCTGAGTTGGAAGGGCTCCAAAATGGAAGAAGGGATCGAGACCCTCGTGGTCTCTCAGCTTTATACTGAGTATGACATATATGGGATGGAATACCTAGTTGGGCAGTTTTGGCTCTGCTTCCCCCCCCATAGGTGTAGACACAGCACCCGTGGTGAGACAATTGACCTTGAGCTTATCTTCTAGCAGCCCATACTGAAAAAACCCTTGCTGCTAGTTTCAGCAAGTTCAGCCACTTAAAAGAGACTGAGCTGAAAAGTAAAATCACTAAATAGAAAGTTAGTTCTATTTAGCTCAAACCAGGACATCAACATAGCCGGGTCCTCAGTTTTTTGACAGTAAGCTTTATGGACAGCCTTTTTCCCCCTTTACTCTTTCTCTTCTTTTTATAGGCTCTGCTACTTGTTACTTGATATATTCAGGGATGTTCCTAGAGAATGTCTCTTCAAATTGTTTCCTTGTTCTAGGATTGTATTAATTTTATCACATCAATGGTTTTTGCTGTTGACTCTTCCCATAATCTGCTCTATATGTTCAGTGTGGGAACTGGATTTTTGATTAAACAGCAGAACTTAAGGTACTTTCAGAAGCCAGAAGCTCAAATAGACACTTGTGACTTGTTAATTTCAGTTTCCAGTTACTTGCAGAGGTACCTTGAATAAAGTGAGTGTACATAAATCTATAGGGCAAATCAGCGTGCACATCTGTGCATTTGTTCAACACGTGGGCCTCAGTTTTGGAGCCAGATCACACCCACAATTCAAAAGATTGATTAGTCAATGATCAAAAATCCATTTGTTAACTTAATTTTTCAGATCCAAACAAGTTGCTTTGGTCTGTAATTCCTCTGCACTTTTTAAATATTAAAAAATGCATTACTATGGAGATGTTTGTTTAGGTGGATTATTATAACGTATCTTGTTTTTCCTGCTCAAGTGGGTATTGAGCATATGTGTTACTGTACGGATCATAAAACAAAACTGCTGAATTTGAGACAAAACTTTCTGGCTCTTGATTGTGCAGAGGTAATGGTGTGGCTTTTAAGTTTTGTTGACTGATTTGTTCTATATTGCAGTGTTATTGCTGCTTTGGTCACATCAATAATTTTTTTCTCACTTAGATATGACTGGCTACTTCTAAATTAATAGTTGAATTGACAATGAGATTATTACCTCTTTCCTTACCCTGTCTTTGGCCATCTACCCTTACAAGGAGTGCTTAGATTGTAAATACCTGTATGTGTGTTCTCCAGCTCACAAACTCTCTCTCAAAAAAATCACCCTTAAGTATTAATGAAAATAATATTGAATAAAAAGATGGATATAAATAGTAAATCAATGTTCATTTGAATCAACTTTCATCTTAAAAAGTGTCAGAAGTACTTGTTACCTAAAATCAATGGATGTGGGGTTTAGTGGGTAGTTACAGCTCCTGAGTTCACTTACGCTGCTTATACACTTTTAATATTTCACGATAACAGTAATAAAGCAATGATAGGTGCAATAGCGTAGTAGACTGAGGTAACTCTTCTTGGGCTGTTTATACTTGTTTATCTGAGACTCAGAAAAATTGCTATGGTCATGAAGATAAACAACTGACTTGTAATTTGAATTCCTTTATTTCTCTTGTATAGTCTTGATTTGTTCTTCATCTTTATGTAATACTTTCTATGTTAATTTTCTACTTGTTTGGATTAGTAGACGTAATCAATCTGTGTATGCAGAATGTTTTATAAACAGTGGGTTCTCTTTAAATTAGACTCTTGTCTAGCCTCAAGATTTTGTCTTTTAAAATCTAAAGCATTCAGGTTTTTATTTCTCAAATGCTACACTTAGTCATCACGTAACTGCAGTCATTTGGGAGGTGGGGAAAAAAAGAGGGACTTTGTCTTAACTAAAATAATGCATGACAGGCCAAAGTGTTCTTGCCTTGATGCCTGCTGTGAGTGAGGGAAGAGTGGGACTGGGCCAGGCTGGCAGTCACTGTGTGTCAGACTGAGCTGAGATTGCTGCTGCTGTGGAGAGATGGACTCTATAGCCGAGAGTATTGTTAGTATGAGTTTGCAACTGTTCTGCCATTGGAGGAAGAGTTAGGCTCTTCAGGTACCACTTGTTGCTTGAAGATCTGTTCTGATCTCCAGAAGAAGAAAGCGTCAGCTTGGATGGGACTGGTGCAGAGTTACTTGCTAGCCCGTGCTCAAAGCTTTCTGGAATTACTTAATTGGAAATGTAAATGTTTGTAAATGGAATAATGTAGGCAACAATTTAGAGACTGTTACGTGAAGGTAAATCTGTACTTAAAAGATTAACGTACACTGCCAGAACTTAAAACCTATGCTTTCTTTTCTTTCTGCAGCAGTGGATGATGTATATAACTGTTAGCAATGAGTAAACTCAGTGATATAGATTGTACACAGAAGGGGGGCTCCAAGAACTTCCAATAAAAACTGCTGTGTCACTGCCAAATTTCCTTGAGCTTGAATGTTACCTGTTGCTCACTTTCTGGTGTGAATGAAATTGAGGATGTTAAAAAAGAAAAAAAGAGACCTTAATATATTAAAAATAATTCTGAATGCTGCTATTCTAACGTCTTAGTTTATATTCTGTTGCTAACATAATTTATGTATTTGTTGTGGTTTAGGGCTGGGCTGGCCACTAAATCCTGGACAGATGCTCTCTATTAATCTCTCTCCCCTACCCAGAAGGGAAAAGATAATAAGGGAGAGAGACTTTATGGGTTGGAAAATAAAACTAACAGGTTTAGTTAAACAATAGGAAAATGGAATATATACAAATATGTACAAATATATATACAAAACCAATATAAAATCCTACCCCCAATCCCCCAGTGATGATTACATCCCTAGAGGCTCTGTGGAGCAGGGCACTGGAAAAGTTCCAGACTGGACCCAGCAGCAGGTAGGAGCAGGATTCAGGAACACACGGATCAGGATTGGAGACAGACGAACTAGCAGGGTTCTGCTCGGACTTTGGCCATGGTGGGATCAGAAGAGCCGGAGGGCAGAAGGGTCGAGACAGAAGGGAAGGATCTAAGATGAGAGGGTTGAGACCTTGTGATCCCTCGGCTTTATACTGAGTATGATGTATGTGGTATGGAATACCTAGTTGGTCAGTTTTGGGTCCGCACCTCCCTGTAGGTGGCAGATACAGCACCCATGGTGAGACAGTGACCTTGTGATGATCACTTGTAGCAGTACACGCTGTCTGGAAAAATGTGCCGCAAGTACAGCCACTTAGAAGAGACTGAGCTGAAAAGTAAAATCACTAAATAGAAAATTAGTTCTATTTAGCTCAAACCAGGACAGTATTTAAACTATTTGTTAGTTTTAAATTTTATACAATGTTCAGTGACAACTTGTATTTGTTACGTTGTGCCAACAAGGAGCTTTTTCAGAAAGGAAAGACTGTTGGCTCTTTATTTTGCTGTCCTCCTACCCTTGTTTCTCCAACACTGGTACTTTCAGGAAATGTTTGATGGTCTAATGATGAAATTAGTTCCAGTTTAGTAATTGGAAAGAGAATATTTTCTTTGGACTGATTCACTTCAGCAGGGACTAAAGCAGAAAGGTGTGTTTTTATTTCCCCCCCCCAATCTACAAATCTTAAGCAGGTAGCAGAGGGTGACATCTGCTAATTCTAAAATGGAAAAGAAGTGTTCTTCCTCTCAGCAGGTAGCTCCTGCCTTAAAAAAAAAATGGGACTTGGAAGCCAGACACAGTTGATCTGTTTACTGCAGTTAATATTTTAACAGGATATTTTGTGTTTAGAAGTGATGAATTTCTTACACGAGAACAGAACTGCGTGTAGCACATCTAAAGAAATTTTAGTAACTTAATAAAAGTTTTAATGAAGCTATTCTGCATTTTTTGTTCTAAGTTTCAGTAAGATGCTGCTTAATCACCTTAAGCCTGAAAATATCTGATGTCACTTGGACAAGTGATTTGTGTCCTAACTTGGAAATACCTTGGAAGCCTCTGAGTACATATATATAAACGTGTGTGTGTGTGTGTATACACACACCCACCAGGCCTAGCCCATACAGTCCTGTCTGCTAGCACAGCTGTAGCCTACTATGCCTGACCAGGAAACGTGTCTCAGTAGTGACATTT